CCCCAAAACCCCAAAACCCCAAAACCCCAAAACCCCAAATTTGAATTAGATTATTGAATACCTTCAAATTTCTGAGCATACTGTTTGATCAGCTCAAGAGTAGAATGGTCGGTGTCGTATACAGAATACCATCCCTGGGGCTCATGAGGAGGATCACCAATGAAATCATCACCTGGCTCCCACATGAGGCCACCATTCTCTCTAGGTCTTCCTTTTCCTCCAAATGCCCAAAAGTTGACACCTGCCATGATTCCTTCTTGGGTTCTTTTAAGGACTTCATCAAAGACTGCTTGATAGAAGTCATCTCGGATATTGACTGTTGCCTTAGGATCAAATGATAGTCCATCTCTTGCTAGCCCAAATTCTTCCATGACTATTGGTTTTGAAATATTTAGGTTTTCTTTGATATTTTCAGATATGTATTCTTGGACTTTTTTAACTCCCTGTTCAAATCCTTCTCTAGAGCTGGGAGTATACCAACCCCAATTTTGAGCCCAAGCATGGACAGTTATATAGTCAATAGTAGGCACTTCATTTCCAGATTTTTGTCATGTGGTGATCGTTCCTTCTGTTCCGATTGATACAATGTGATTTGAGTCAAGGTATTTCAGTAACTGACTTCTACCAGAAATCCAACTAGCCCATTCTTTACAATTGATACTTCTTGGCTCATTTGCAAGCTGCCAAGACATGATAGTTGGATCATCTTTGTAATACACAGTTCTTCCTTCATATCTTAAATATGCGGTATTTTTGCGATTTACTATGAGATGTATGAACTCATCATAATGCTTAGTAATCTTGTCTCTAAAATAAAAAATCTCTGTATCATTCTGATTTTCTCCAAAGAACCATTCAATTACTTGATCAAATCCGCCGGACCAGCCCCAGTAATTATTTAAAGGGATGACTGCTTTCATGTTTCTTTTGTGCATTTCATAAAGGAAAAGATCCAATCCTTCCCATGTATCCTCATTATACCTGCCTCATTCATATTCTAGGGAAGGAGTTATTCGATGTGGCTTATAATCAGGGCCTTGAGTACTTCCCATAATTCTCAAATTTCTAACTCCATTTGATTGAAGAAGGTCTAGATCGGAGGTCAACCTTGCATAGTTGCCGTTCATAGGAGCTCCCAGGTTCATTCCAGCCCAATAATTTGCACCTAGATATGTATATCTTTCTCCATTAAGAGTAAAGTTTCTTCCTTCAACCTTGACGAATCCATCTTGGGTTTTTCACAATAAAATCAAGAAAACCAGGATAAGTAACTTTGAGAAGCTATAGGCTAGTTTTGGACTTAAATCGTTTAGAATTTCTTACCTTATACTTCCTAAATTACTGTAGATGTGGGCAGACTTCTTTCTAGTCCTCGACTTTAAGACTACAGGACTCTTGTATGAGAATTCTGCCATCTTAAGTTTCAATTATTTGTTCAAAATGAGGGGTTTTGGGGTTTTGGGGTTTTGGGGTTTTGGGGTTTTGGGGTTTTGGGG